GGCACCCGGAGGGCCGGGCCTGGTCCCACCTGAGCAGATGCCTTCCCCGCAGCAATGACGGCAATTTTGGCGTAGCGCTGGACATTAATGTCGTGGTAACCTCCGATGGCTCTGTGCGCTGGCAGCCCCCTGGCAACTATCGCAGTAGCTGCAGCATCCAGGTCTCTGGGCTCCCCCCCGGGGAACTCCAGGCCTCTAGAAACCCTCCCTCTCTCAGATAGCCTGACCCCCACCCCTCCCTCCTCCGTTACCCCTCCTGACCCTCACATCTCTCTTAACCTCCTGATTTTCCATTGTTTCATTGCTCACTTTCATTGACTTCCAGTCTCCCTCAGTAACTCCCCTCCATTGCCCCTGTCCCCCCCCATAACCTTCCAGTTCCTTTGTGACCCCCGCTTCCCTGTGACCGCTCCTGGTGGCCCTCATCTTCCTGGTGCTCCATATTCTGTGACCCCTGTCTGCCCTGTGGTCGCCCTAACTCCCCCAGCCCTGACCAGTTCTCTGCCAGCTCTAGTGACTCCTCCTTCCATTCAGGTCACCTACTTCCCCTTTGACTGGCAGAACTGCACCATGGTGTTTCGCTCCTATAGCTATGACAGCTCAGAGGTCAGCCTGCACACTGGTGTGGGCCTGGATGGGCAGGAACGGCGGGAAGTGGACATTCATGAAGGGACCTTCATTGGTGAGTGGGCCTGGATCCCACATCTAGGGCTGTTACGGCTTCCGGTTTCTAACAGGCTGGTAAATATACTCAATCGGCAATGCCAGTACCAACCTGTGGTGTCAGCAAGATAGGTATGACTAGCTACATTGTGCAAGTATGGAAATGAAGACTTATTTCAGTTTATTAATGATGGGCTGTCCAGCCTCGTGTTCACAGCTAACCCCTTATCGCATCAGCCTCCGCTGCTCTAGAATGTGGTAGAGCAAGCCGTATCCGGTGCCAGCAAGGACCAGGCCCCACATCTGTGTCCCCTTCTCCTGTTCTTCTTCCCCTTCACCAAGAGAATGGCCAATGGGAGATTATCCACAAGCCTTCTCGGCTGATCCAGCCGCCAGTGGATCCTAGGGGAGTGGGAGAGGGACAGCATCAAGAAGTCACCTTCTACCTCATCATTCGCCGGAAACCTCTCTTCTACCTGGTCAATGTCATTGCCCCATGCATCCTCATCACTCTCCTGGCCATCTTCGTCTTCTACCTGCCGCCAGATGCAGGTAAGGGAGAAGCGGCCCCAGCATTCGTGTTTTTTTGTTGTTGTTGTTTTAATTGATTTCAGAGAGAGGAAGGATGAGGGAGAGAGGGATAGAAATATCAATGATGAGAGAGAATCATTGACCAGCTTCCTCCTGCACACCCCCTACCGGAGATCGAGCCTGAAATCCAGGTATGTGCCCTGTCTGAACTCGAACCTCGATTTCTTGGTTCCTGGGTTGACACTCAACCACTGAGCCACACTGGTCAGGCCCAGCCCCCATTTTTACCAGGAGCTCAGCTTCTTCCTCTCCACCTTTATTATTTTTTTTATTTTTTATATATATTTCTTTATTGATTTCAGAGAGGAAGGGAGAAGGAGAGATTGAGATAGAAACATCAATGATGAGATAGAATCATTGATTGGCTGCCTCCTGCACACCCCCACTGGGGATC